TGTGTAGAAACAGACCAGATTATTTGAGTACATGGCAGAGGGGCATTGTTGGCACATGGTGGTATAGATCACATTAGTAGATGTACACATGAATGAGCCTTTGATGACATAGCTGATGTGTTTAGATCCTGTGATGGTGTCAGTAGTGTAGATGTGCAGACAGATTTGGCCACGGGGTTTGCTGCAGGGATAGGTTCTGGATTAGTGTTTCTGTTGTAAAGTTGGTGGTATTTGCCTCAGGTTGTGGACTGTCCGTAAACAAGGACTGGCCTGCCTCCCAAGGTCTGCAAGTGAGGGATCATCATCCAAGATAAGTTATAGATCCTTGATGATATGTAGGAGAGGTTTAGCTGGGGGCTGTAAGTAATAGCTAGTGGCCTTCTGTTGCTTTCTTTGTTGGGTCAGTCCTGTAGTAGGTGACTTCTGGATATCCACCTGGTTTTGTTAGTCTGTTTCTTCACTTCTCTAGGTGAATATTGTAGTTTTAAGAATGCCTAACAGAGATCCTGTAGGTGTTTGTCTCTGTCAGAGATCGGAATAAATCTTAGGGCTTGGCTGTACACAGTGGATCATATGATGTGTTTTGGATGAAAGCTGAAGGCATGTAAGTATAGCAAGTCAATAGGTTTTCAGTATAAAGTGGTATTTAAGCAACCATCAGTCATTTTTACAGTCAAGTGTCCAGAAAGAGAAACTTCAAGATGGTCACTTGAAAAAAGAAGTGAGCATTTGGGGGCTAGATTGTGATGCACAAGGCTCGACAGTCTTTGTAATCTACTCGCCCGTGGCGAGTAGATTACAACCCAGAAGATCCGGACAACGCAGCTGGCGAGCGGGGCTTGCCGCAGCTCGGCGAGCCCTGGTTATGTATAAAGTGTTTGAAGTTGGGAATTAAGGATAGTAGGCTATGGGGAGTGTCCCAAGTTGTTGCAGTGAGCCAGAACACTAGTGTCTCTGTTAAGCCTAGGCTCTAGCAAAGTTCCAAATCTGAAGGTGTTGTGCAACTTTCCTTTGAGGACACATATTGAAAGATCAGCTCTGAATGATCACTTCCTGAAAAGCGTTCGGCCACAGGTGATATGTGGTGTATGGGTCTTTTATTATAGTTCTGGGTGAGTTCATCTGAGGACAAAGTGATTGTCTAGTTCTACCCACATGGCTATTACTGAGGCATTTGTTGCATTGTATGAGGTGTATTACATGGGATTAATAGCAGCAGGTTTGAAAAACAAAAGGGAGTATTTCTTCACACAACACACTCAACCTGTGGAACTCCTTACTAGAGGATGTTATGAAGGCCAAGATTACACAAGGGTTCAAAAAAATAGAGAGATTTTCTTGGAGGATCGGTCCATCATTAGCCAGGATGGGCAGGGATGGTGCCCCTCGCCTCTGTTTGCCAGAAGCTAGGAATGGGCAAAGGGGATAGATCATTTATTGATTACCTGTTCAGTTCATTGCCTCTGCACTGTTGAAAGACAGGATACTGAACGAATGTTTGGTCTGACCAAGTATGGCCGTTCTTGTGTTCAGGAGACAGGTTCCTTATATAGCAATGTTTTTAAATCTAAGGCTGCTCAGGTAGGATACTCAGGTAACAGCTATGTGACCAAAAGTGTTTCTCCATGACACCAGTGCCTGGCAAGAAAAGTGTGGCCCTTGCTACACAATGATCCATGCCATGGTCACCTGGGGCTCTGTAAAGTGTAACATTGGGGCTCTGATGTATCCATCCTTCAGATTTCTAGGGAAAGAGGCTACTGACAGCAAGAGAAAGACCCCTTAGTTCTGGAACTGACTATTCCTATTTCCCACATGAATTTAGATCGATTCTTCTTCAGGACATGCCAGCAAAATCTACCTACATTTGGGAATGGTTTGAGACACACTGTGACATCCTGGCCCCACCGAAGTCAGAATTTTTGCCATTGATGGCAGAGGAACCACAACTATACCCCAGGACTTTTGTTCATTTAAACAAAAGTGGTTTTGTCTGGGAAGTCAGGGCTGGGTTAAATATACAACTTTATTAAGGACTGTGGCGGAGCGTACCAGTCCTGCCCTGGCAGCCCTGACAGCTATGCTCAGATTGCTGCCCAGCTATAAATAGGGTTACCAGATGGGTTTTAAAAAGATACCGGACACATGAGATCTCAGAATGGGATGGGAAGGGATGGGATGGTGGGGGGGATCGGCCAAGAGGAGGTCGGGGGCAGTGGGGCTGGCTGGGGGGCGAAG